GATAACGACAAAAACTATTTATTTACACTAATTATTTATTAAAGAACTTAAATACACTATTAAATTATTACTAAACTTAATTTATGAATTATTCTATTTATTTACACTACTGTTGATATATCACTATTCACTGCGCTATTTTTTTCACTGCTCTCACTGTCAATTTATTTCCCGATTCACTTCTGCACGGTCAATTTATTTCTTCTCCTCTCGGCGATTATCTCTTCCTTTAAATACTCTTTGGTTTACTTTCGGGAACCTTCTGGAAACATCCGGATAGTTTTTTTTTTCTTTGAACTGTTTGACTGGTTTCCCAGAACGCAGGTACGACACACACATTTACAAATACGGCGCACATGGAGAAAGGCGCCCGCGGCTAGTCGGCGAATCGATAAGCCTTTCACGCACACAAACACACTCGTGCTTGCTACAATACACCCGTTTAGAATAAGTGAAAAGTATTTACTAGGATAATCGTTAATGCTTATTTTTCAGTCTAGAGTAAACTGGACTGGAAGAATGAGAACGTTCTGAAATGTTTGAGGACCAATATGTTTGAGTGGTGAGGATAAGGGTATTGTCCCAGGCATACTTTATTGCTTTCATATTTGAATGCATGTGTTTTTATTATTAATCTAAACGTGGTCGTCTTATTTCAAATTGCAAGCACGTTGCAATTTATTTTCAACTTTCATTTTGGCATTCAGTAATTATCTAATCGACAAGTTTAGGGTTCCGCACCTCAAAAGAAAAAAGGAACCCTTATATGATCACTTCGTCTACATATCGCAATGGAATCAAAGCCTATAGGGTACTTTCCGTTGATCTAGAATCATGAAATTTAGAAGAAGCAATGTCTTCTTACAATACAAGTAAAGGTAAAATCTTAAAACCATAAATTTGTAGTTACACCACCAAAAAAAAATTTAATTGTAATATTGTAAATACATTTATTGGACGGAAACTTAAAATATACTCGGAAAAAGCGGGAAAACTATTTGCATAGTTACAAGTTTGTTCGGAATTCTCGGTGCGCCAGTCAGACTCGCGCTTGGTCGCCTTTAAGTGGGGTGTTGATAAGAAAAAGCAAATATGTCAAAAGTTTAAGACGCTTATGCGTTGCTTATTATATATATTTTCAGTTACAGTAAGGTTACAGTTGCATAAAAAATTTTTTTGTTTCTATAAATATCATACAAGGAATAACAAGAGGTTTAAAATGTTTATATAATAAAAAGTCCATTATCTAATAGTGGATTAGTCCATCAGTGTCTGCTGAAGGTAAAATAGTCTTAATAAAGATCTCACAATTTTCGAGATATTTACCTATGCTAGCTCCTGAAAGTTCATCATTTCAAGTTCGATAGTTGTTCGAAAATGTATGTAAAAGTGAGAGTTCTAACTAGACATTTATTTTCTGTATTGAAATGACTTATTAAATTGTAGTTTTTTTTTTATTGGACTTAAAAAATAAAAATAGTTCTGATGCAGCGAAAAATTTATGTGTTTTGACCGTAGTATTACTTTTTTAAATTTAAAGAAATCTCTCGAAAATCGTGGAATTTATAATAATTCAATAGGCTGAACTCTTCTAGTAAGTACGAAAGTATTATTTAACGGTTTTTGGATACTGCATAGTTTCCTGCATCATTTTAGGTATATATAGTAAACATGAAAAAACTGAACTTTAATTCTAAATGTGACGAACTGTTTTCTTAAATAGATAACAATAAGTTATTCCGTTAAAGACCGATGTATTTTGTCAATCCGATCGGTCAAAGTTTTAAGAACGTTGTAACGGTCTTGTTGCGCCTCGTTCTTTTCGGTGTTTTTGATGAAAACATTGTTAACTTGGTCTATTCTTCCTTTAAGAAGTCCGTCCAAAATGCAAGAAATAAGAACGTGTTCGGTTTCGTCCTCGGAAATGTTCAATTCACGGCTAATGTAAGATAACGCTACTTTTTTATAAGGTTTAACGAGCGCGAGTAACACCTGAGTACGCACATTCTTAAGTAGTATTTCGATATTTTCGCATATGAACGGGTCTTTCAGTAGTGACTCCTTATTCTCTTGGAAATAGTTCTCGAACTGTTTCATGTCATTATTTTGATACGCCGTAATTAAATTGGTCATGGCTTGAACTTCGGCGTCGAGCTTGTACGGTTTGGCCTCTTGCGAGTCGAACGGGTTAATTGCCGATTTCATCAGCATGCTAGTTAGTATGAGGTACTTTAAGCAAGTGGTACGACGCGGGCTGCCCGACTCGTCGTAGTTCTTGAACGCCTCAAAAAAATCGGTGTACGCCTGTTCGTAGTCTCCCGAGCGTAAATGCATCTTGCCGCCACACTCTCTAATGACGCTCATTATGAGCGGATGAGGTATAGCCGAACGTACCCTTAACGAGCGGTCGTACAACTCCTTGAGAAGCTTGTTGTTCTTTTGCTCCGTGTACATTTGGATTTGCAACGCGTATATTTCGAGGAGTTGTGTTCCTTTCAAAACATCGTCTTCACCCGTTTCCGTCTGACAACATTGGTACAATTGGCGAACGATATTGGCAACCTTGTTGAATTCTCGTCGTTCGAGGAACACCTTACCTAACTTCACGTTCGTTTTGAACCACAATCGATCATTTTTAGTGTGTTTAAGTGTGTCCAATGTTGTTTCATAAAATCCCTGCAACACTTCTATGTTTTCTGTGCTTGACGTATAGTCCAAAATGGAGTTTATCGATTTCTCACCATGGTTCTTGGTTACCGCGTTTTTTATATAACCTAACATTTCCTTGTATTTCGTTACGGTTTCTTCGTAGTTCTTTAACTTGAAATTAATCTTGACTATTTGCTTTAACGCTTTAAAACCCCACTCGCCTTTAAAGGGTCCTTGCAAATCAATTACTTTTTGAAATGCTGCAAGAGCTGCTACAGGATCTTCCTCTTTCATTGCCTTGCTGTGATAGTACTGGTTTTCTAAATCAACATCTGGTTCGGATGTGCTATCTTCTGAATATTCTAATCCATAATCTTCATCGTCACTCATTATATAATCACATTCGGCCATTGTCTTATCAAAATAGATTATTCTACTCTGCACAGGAACACCAAGGACGTTTGTCCTTCTTGACAGTTGTAGCAAAAATAATAGAAACATATGACTTGCGCATAACCCAACCACTAGAATGTAATGAATTATAAGTAACAATATGATGTTTGACGATAACCACGTGTAAATGCGTAGAGTTAATTAATTTAATTTATAATGAGCTTTTACTATCTAAGATAAGATGAGTTAACTCAATGGACTGTGACAAATTAGTTTGGCCCAGACTTAGATCTAATAAACGTTACTTACGCCAACACCTAGACGACTCAATTAAACTAACTTTATCTCCTCAATTAAGCAATTATTAACTATCTGCATTTCAAAATAAATACATCCATTAGTACCTCCCACGTTTCACAATCGAGTAGAGACATAAGAAATGGAAAAGTCATAAATGCGCTAATAGAAGGCTGTCTTGTATCAAGTTCATATGTAAGCTGGCTGCAGTTAATACGATCTGCAATATTACGTAAATTCTCTTTAAACGTACAGCGGGTAACACACATTCGAACTAATTCCAGAATATGTAGTTCAGTAATAATGGCGTGCATGAATTGCGATTTGGAATTGAGTGAGATGTTTTCATAAAAATTTTATTGCTCACAGTGGAACTTTATTTGGAAAATACGGTCTGGCATTCTGTACTAGTTTTACTGGTTCAGTGGGAAACGCTCGGTTGTAAAAAGTAACAGTTCATAATGAACAAAGAGTGGGTATTCGAGCAGGAACTGCGTTCGGAGTTGAATTAGGGACAACATTTCGTACACATTCCAATCCACTCTATGATCCCCGCAAATAAAGAGAAATAGGTTGTTTGTCTACTGTTTACTATTGACTTATTTCTCATACAACAAAATGAGATTTAAAATAAGTCTGAAATAGAGGCGAGCAAACGTAAGACCAAGTCCTTTAGATGTTTTGTTTTGGTCTTAGTTTTGCGTCAACTTCCTTGGTTTTGGCTTCGACATTTAAATTTTGGTTTCATTTGTTAATACGGTTAGTGATTCCTTAGTTTAAAATCATAAAATATATCGACAGTATGTATCAAATATCTGTGGAATATTACTGCCTCAGCATTTGCCTAAGTGATCCAAGGAAACCACAGAAAAACTTGGACCAAGGCAGACGGACCCGGAATCGAACCGGTGTCCTCGCAAATGCTAAGCAATGGTCTAAATGGTCACAGACAATCTTTCACTTCCCTTATGGCTTCATTTCGTCTACGTCATCTGTCTCTCCCCGTTCACCGCCCACCCATTCCCACGATTCTTCCGTTCTACCTTTGGGCCTTGCATTGGAGTCAGTTTGGTGCCCATCTACCAGACTTTCCGAGTAAATAAAATTATAACTAATTTTACAACCTTTACCAAATTCCTTTTGTAAAAAGTTGAGTTTTATGTGGACACAAAGTAAGAGAAACAATTTTTTATAACTATTGTATAACCAGAAATACATGCAGCCGAGTTTCGATATTTGAATAGACACTACTCTTTCATTTCTCTATTCATTTCGATTTTAATCGCGATAAATTATCAGAACATTTGCATAAACCGTTTAGAACCTGGTTATTTCGTACATTGACAGAGTGAATATAATTAATGAAAGAATATATAATATTTTTTTGTGTTGACACAAACAGAACGTTGTCACCTGTGTGGGATTCCAAACCGTTTAAAACAGTTTTCATGTTGTGTGTGTTTGACAGTAGTGGTTTTATTCTTATATGTAGATAGCCAATATACAAACAAGGCGGTTAATATACAATCTAGAAAGAAAAGCTAATGTGAAATGTTTTTAAAATGCTTCATTTTACGCGAACATTCGAAGTTATTCTTTGAATAATTAAGTTATGTTTGACGTGAAGATATAGAAATGTAACTATACAAGGTGTTTGTTGGTCATATTAAAAATTGTTAGAGGAAAATAAAGCGATTGAAGGAATACCGTTATGAAGAACCAATTACACAATGTGGTCATTAGTCTTTAAAAATTTGATATTGGGAGCGCTGTGGCTGTATTATTTCGCCCTAGTTTGATTTGGAATCAGAATGTCGTTTTATTTGCCTTTTTTCTATGTTTTAACCAATTCCCCGAAAACGTGTTAAAAATCAAGCCCGAATAAAAAACATTATAGAATTTTTGTAATTGTGGACTTCATTCAAAATTTCAAAAATCCCGCGGGCCCTTTTCGAATACAATTGTAGGAAAATCCAAAAAAAGGGAATGTAAAAATACTTTTTATTGGTTAAGACTGGGCTATGAAGACAAGAATAGTTTGTGTTATAACCAGATATTTAGTAAGAAGTTAAATATATGCAATCCTATAAAATTGTTAGTTACTTAACAGTGGATTAATATGCAATATTAATTTGAAATCGTTTTTTCGATTTTTTATTTACCCACTTCAAACTACCTCAAATTAATGAGGCACCAAGCCAAAGGTCCCGGGTTCGATTCCCGGCGGGGGTGTGACAACAGGAACAATTTTTCCCTCATTAATTTGAGGTGGTTTGTAGTGGGTAAATAAAAAAATCAAAAAAAATATTTAAAATTAATATTGTATTTAGTAAGAAGGTTGATAGTTGCTGGTGTTGTTAACTTGGAATTCCCTACTACCAGAAGCGATTAATAAAGAGCACCCTGTAGTTGTTTTTATAAATACGCCGACACAGTTTTGCACTGAGACAGACACACGACACACTGGTCGGTTGGGTTGGTTCTTGGCTGTGAAGAAAAGAACAAAAGTCAGATTGTTTATAATATTGTATGAAAGCTCCATACGTTCAATGGAAACGACTTGTTGGCGACAATGAATAGACTGATCGGTTCACGACGACATTATTAAATATCAACTCTGTATAATACGTGGGTGATAATTTTATGCGTAAAGACGCCGTAGCTGGTTTGTGTTTATTAGGTTCTGGGGGTCGAAACGGGTTAGTTCATTGAGCGCGTTAAGCTTATTGAATTTATTGTAATGTTCGTGGGTTTAACAAATTAACTTTTAAGACTCACAACGACAAAAACTATTTATTTACACTAATTATTATTGAACTTAAAAAAACTATTAAATTATTACTAACTCAGGTGATAAATTACTCCATTTATTTACAGTACTGTTACTATATCACTATTCACTGCGCTGTCAATTTATTTCTAGATTCACTTCTGCAACGGTCAATTTATTTCTACTCTCGCGGCGATCATCTCTTCCTTTAAATAAGTACTCTTTTGTTTACTTTCTGGAGCCTTCTGGAGACGTCCGGATAGTTTATTTTTTCTTTGAACTGTTTAACTGCTTTCCTGGAACGCAGATACGACACGCACGTTTACAGATACGGCGCACATGAAGAAAGGCGCCCGCGGCTAGTCGGCGAATCGATAAGCCGCTCACACACACGTATACCCGATCGCACACAAACACGCTCGTGCTCGCTACATTATTATAGTCGGAGACGTTTAAACGTCATCCGGAATATGGATAAATTTTAAGGCAACTTGTTAGTATAATAGGGGGAGGGGGGAGGTTACGTCTCTAACAAGAGGACAGCCTACTAGGTACAAGGGGTAGATACAGAGGGTGAATGTGTCCTATTTACTTCTTGTTACGTTATTGATACGGTAATCAAAAATTTGGAGACCTCGGTATACTAGACAAAAATTATGGCAAAAATGTTCAGAATATTATGAAAATTAAGAGAAAATGACAATCAAGGGTATTTCCGAATAGTAAATTTTCCGTTCTTCTCATTGCTGAGATCAAAAATATGTATTCCTATTAAAAAAATGACCTGAGCTTCAAATGACCTCCAATAGCATAAAACCTTTGTCAAACCTTTTTCTTGAATAATGAGAAAATACTTCATGTTTTTTGCAATAACCTTTCTTTACTTCACCTCTATTAGCAATCCTTTTTATTTCAGCTCACGTGTCAGTCTTTCGGGAACTCAGACAGGCACCATACATCCACGTCTATATTTCTATAAATTCTTGAGCAATATCTTGCGGACATAATAAAAAATGGGTCATTTTCACCTTCTGTATGCATCACCTCTTCTTAGTGAGCTATCCGACTGCTAAGGAACGTAATCCCCTTTTTATTATTCGAACAAGTTATCGTAAAATTTTTCAGTATTCCGGACTACTACTTACTGTACCTACCTACCTATCCGTATCCTGTAGTATACACAAGATCATAATAAGTTTTCAGTGGAGATTATGCTCAATCTACCTATACCTCTACATATGGGCCACTTGCACATTTGTCCACTTTTGGTTATACTAGAAGCGGACTGCATCCACTCGTATTCCGGCGCAAACTCAATCACTGTAGCTAGTCACCGTTTGAATTGGGACAGCTTTGGCATAGTTAAATTAAAATTTCTATTTGAGGCTGCCAGGAGATTTCTGAGATGTCATTTTTATTAAAATAGCAGTTTTTTTCATAGAGATTATTTCATCATCATCATACGGTAGTCAGTTCTAAGATTGGTTGGATACTCACCAACGTTCTTTTTACCCCTTTTAACTCGTGTTTCTATTTCCAGTAGGTTTTTTTTTTCAACTGAAAAGGTGTTTTATCAACCTATCTCGCCTATTTCTAATACCTCCCCATTTCTAACCTTCTCTATCTAAGGTATCCTCATCATTCGCCTGTAACCTAACCTTTTCCGCCGCGCCCACCGTCCACGTTTTGCACCCGTACAGAACGGTGCTCCAGACCTTTAACAATCTTTTTAGAAATATTTATCTAACTTAAATTCAAAGGTTGTTAGGTTCAACTGAATTCTTTTTATCATTCGTTTGTAATCTTTTTAGCAACTTTTCTTCCTCTGTTTTTTTTCAAAAACTACAAGGATCCTTGGAAAGTTATGTTGTAACTAATTTAAAGTATTAAACCTGCTTATTGATGAGCAGTTTTGCTCGTCTGTCCATCTTTCTATAAGTTCTCCAATAAAAAAAATGCATTCTATAAAAGCGTTGCTGAACGGAATTGATAAAATGCCTTGAATTTTTATTTTGAATATTCA